CATTTTATGACTTGCGGTCACTAAGTGTCATTACAGCTGCTTGGAAAATCCTGCAGATCTTGATCAAAGATCCGATTACAAACCATTTACCAGATAACCTACAGCAAGAGCTTACTATATATTCTTAAAAGCCCTTAGTTCAACAACTCTCATATGTCATTCTTTGATCACATTTTGCAGTTGAGAATGGACAACAGTATTCGAGGTCTGGAAGAACAAACATTTGATAAAGTCCTAGCATCATTTCCGAAGGAAAAAATTATACAATATGAATCTACATATCTGCGCGGCTTTAGCAGTGATTCTGTCTGCATAAGGTGATAAAGCAAGTTTATTCGTATAACTTAGACCTAGGTCCTTTATGGTGAGGCATTCTGAGAGTGGGTTATTCTGAAAAATTATGGGACCAGGAAGTTTAGCAGGAACAAAAGACATGAAACTACACTTGGATGATGAAAACTCCATCTGCCATGTTGAACGCCATCTGCTTAAGCGTAGTAAATCGACATTAATTTTTGCAACACAAACGTTTGCTGTGTCCTTAGAATATGCATTAACACACTTGAGGTCATCGGCATAAATAAAAGTTTGAGAATTTCCGAATTTAGTCGAGATATCATTGGTGTAAAGAAGGAATAATAGTGGACCCAGAACCGTGCCTTAAAGTACGCCATTCGTGATCGAGTGAGGTGTCCAGTAGCTCTTGCCGATCATGACTTCCTGATATCGGTTGGATAGTTAGGACCTGATGAAATCGAGTAGAGGCGGCCGGATGCGGAGAGTTTCCAATTTTACTAAAATACGTATATGGGACACCTTGTCAAAGGCTTTGCTAAGATCAAAGTAGATAACTACCACTGACTTCTGCTCATTACGAAGAGAAGTGATTAGATTAAGAAATGCCAAATGGCAAATTTCGCAGGATCTTTCAGGTAAAAATCCATGCTGACTAGAGCTCAGAGGCCGATTAGCTAGACAGAAGTCAAGAATTTCGTTGAAAATAATCCTTTCAAGTAGCTTTGCTAGGGACGGTGTTTTGTGCACGCCCCGATAGTTATTAACATCGGACCGAGATCCAGACTTGAAGACGGGAATGATAATTGACGTTTTCCATGTTTCAGGAAAGAATCCTTCTGAAATGTAAACCAAGAATGAATGACTAAGCAATATGTGAAGGTCGGATACCTGTTTAATAATCCAATTGGGAATCCCGTCCGTTCCTGAGCAGCTTGAATTTTTCTAACGCCTAATGTGTTTCTTAATGAGATCTGAGGAGACATCCATTGTACTCAGTGTCTTATCTGAAAGTGGACGAAAGAAAGGGACTGCTTCGGACTCAGTATAAAAGTGTTTTGTAAGGAAATCACTAAACAACTCCGCCTTGTCAGTGTCATTGATGAGGAAGACTTTGTTATCATTTAGCAGGGATGGAAGTTCGAGACATCGCTTAGAGGAGAACCGATGACGGAAGATGTTAGCGACGGATTTGCCAGGGTTCGAAGCATTTAGGGCAAGTGATTGTCTTTGCCTGTCGCGCGCTTGGCGCATCCTTAAGGCCATCTCAAAAATCTCTGTGATTCTCAGATGAACTGATAAGGAACTAGCGGATGGGTCACGCAGCTGCCGTCTCAAATTTTTAGTCTGTTGTGAAGAAAATGAGGAACAAGGGAATCTGAAGAATTAGGCTTGAGTTATCTACGCGGCACAAACTCTAGGATGTCCTTGGAAACATTGGACATGACGTCACGAAGAAGGGTTTCATCGCTACAGGAGAGGAAGCCACACCAATCCAAAGATCTAATATAGTTAATTATTAAGTCGTTATCTACGTAATCGTAGTTTAGGTAAGTCCGAATGGTGCTGGTCTTTTTTGAAAAGACAAGCGGTAAGCAACAATGAATTAATACGTGGTCACTGTCAAAGAGGTCATTTTTGAAGGCAACAAAGGGAGGAGCAATGCCGTTGTTAAAGATTAGATCTAAAATGTGATTATCTCTTGTTGGAGAGCGCACCAGTTGGGACCAGTTAGAAAAATTGACAATATCTTGAAAGGGCTGGAATCTAGGTGGACAGTTATTGGAAACCCAGTCTATTTCAGGAAGTTTAGAATCCCCAGTGATTATTTTAACATCAAAAGCAGCTACCGAAATTAATTTAAAGATTTCACAGAGTTGTGAATCCTCACTAGCTAAATAATTTGGGGGATTGTAGATACAGCCAATAATTGCCTTTCTTTGCGGCGAAGTAGAAGTTTCCCGTGAATGAGGAGACATCCAAGTAATAGGGAAAGTGCTTTAGGTAGTATTTAAGATAAAGAAGACAACCACCTCACTCCTAGTCGTGCGGTCTTAACGGTTAAAATCGAATTCATCTATGAGAAGGGCAGAGTCAGGGAGTAGATAATGTGTTCCAGATTCTGTTATACATCTAATATCAGGCGTTATTTCGAGAGCAATGACTCTGATTTGGGCCATCTTGTTTATAGCAGACCTGTTATTCAATAATATAATATCTAATGTGTTTCGAACAGCAATGCTCTTGTCGACAGTATTTAAATTTTATTGGATATTTATATGGAATCTGTGAACTAATGATGCTTTTAGAATGAGTATCAATTAAACTAGTGTTATTGACTTACATTTATTCAACAAGAGTAGGCTTAGCCTGAGATCTAAATGATCTGTGGATATAATTTCCGATCATTGGGATGCTAGGGGAATTATAACGTGCATATGCTTGTTGTTAGTAAAATTGTGGAGGAGGGTTAGGAGGAGGTGGATGGCGCCTAGAAGGAAGGTGGAGGCTGGTGGAGTAGGGTAGACAGCTGTAAGAACAAAAGGGTGCCAAATCAGGTCTAGGTTGGAAGTCAAATGATTTGGGTTGACTTACCTGAGAACAGTTTGCCTTAAGTGACGGGAAGCCTGAACTAGGTTGGAGCATAAATGACTTAGGGCAATTCACATATGTATTATTTACTGGACATATAGTAGGGCTTCGGTAAGTATCCGGTACGTAGGACAGAGAATTATTCGGAGATATAATTGGAGCTGCGAGGTTTGTAAACAAGCCGGGCTGTAAAGGCTTGGTAGATCTAAGAGAAGACGGCGTACCCCTAAATGGAACTGTACTACCTTTTTTTTGGGCCGGAGTCTGATTCAGTTTTGGAGTCTCACCATTCTGATGCCAAGCCAGAGTTTACTTAACTGTAGAGCTTTCAGCACCCTGTTGAACTGGGGAAGTTACCGGTCTAACTGATGTAGACGGATTTTCGCGCGTCCAAGGAGCCTATCCGGAGGTTAAGGAAAGACAAATGGGGCTGCTGCAAGCTTAGGGACAGGCAAATGCGTCAAGTGGCCTGAGTGAGAGGGAGATGTAGGAGGAGGGAGTCAGATGTCGCAGGAGTAGCACCAGCTGAGTCCTCAAAGCCACTTGTATTATGACCGAGTTGGTGAGCATTAGACTGAGAAGCAGTGGATTTACGTGAGAAGGGGGACCCGATTTTACGCTCCGTGGGAGTAAGATCATGACAAAGGAAACATTTTGCATTTTCCAGATACGCAGAGACACGATCTCGATGGGCAAATATTGAGTCGAACTCAATTGGTGAAAACAACTTAACTAAGACAGGCGGATTTTTACTACGGGAAGACAGGCGTTTTGAATCGGCTATTTTGTAGTTGAGACCACTGGAGTACAGGAAATCAACCGCAAAACCAACTGGCCGAGCAGATCGAGGAACATGTTTCAACAAAATTTAGTAAACACGCTTTTGGCTATCACTAGATTCACTGGCGATCAAGTGAATAAGTGAGTCAAGACGCCTACATTCTTGAGAGGGAATGTAGGAGACGTTTCCGTCGAATAATTTTTCAAGAATTGAGAGCAGAGTGCCAAAACGTTAGTATAAAATCATTGCAGTTATCATGTGCAGGCAGATTAAGCTGCCTACCAGTCAAAACGGATGACGATTGAGTAGTAATATCTTCTGACTTAGATTTAGGTAAGCCTTCTGGATTTGATTGAGTTAAGCCTTCTGACTCATATTTAGTTAAGCCATGCTTACGTACACAGAACGAGAGTTTTCGCCGACCTGCGACTTTTACTCTCATCTTGTATTGAGGCAAGTTGTGATTAAGAAAACTTGTGGCAGACAAGGTGACTGAATTTCAGCTAGAGGCTAACGATGTAAAAATAAATTACACAGTTAGAGAGAAATCGAATGCACAAAATGCGAATTGCACAGTGCGACTGGTGATCAACAGGCACAGGCTAGCGGAACCCAAAAAGGAGATGGCAACAGCTGGTTCTGAGTGGATAGGCCTGTATTTAAGAAAATTTAACCGAAAAAACAGGGACTAAAATCCTTGGGTCTCTCAGAAAAACCACTCAAAGTAACATCTTCCAGTTACAGTTAGTGATCTAACTCATGAAATGTGCCGAAATTTACGAATGATTGCCAATCACTCGCAAACCGACATCATTTCATGAGTCCAATGTCTATGTTAGTCACTTACAAGTTTAAAAGAATTAAAAACATAAAAGAAATATTAAAGTCAGTTTTGTGTTGTTTAGAAATGCCGATTTATTTTGAAAAGTTCAATATCCCGAAACCGCCATGAATGGCTCTAATTTAGTAAACTTCGTTTTTAGATGTATAGAAGGCATTCTCATACCAAAAACGTAGTAAATATAAATTTAAAAATAAAATAACGTCTAATAATAGTGTGTTCGTGGAGTTTACATCTAAATATCCTTCAATAATTATTGATTTAATATATTACAGTTTGTCAACTGCCTACATTCTGAGTGTAGATTCCAAAACAGTTTTGCAGGGTTTCGTGCTACCCTTGAATGTTTCGAGTTAAATGAGATGAGGTTCAACAAGAGAAACGGAATTTTGCTTGATTTCACCGATGGGGATGTCGTAGGAACAAAAGTTTTCGTAAGGTGACATGCCATGAGGCCGTTCGGTTCCTCTTGTGAAAGTCTGCACAGTCGACATGGCTCGTCAGTCGAGCATTTCTGGTTGGACAGGCGTGGGCAATCCGCCCGCCAAGGCGCCGACCCCTGACGCCCACGCGTGCACGGTCGTCGCTATCGATTTGCGTCGCGCCCTCTCAATCTGGTCGCCATTGTGGTCACCCCTTTTCCTGTTCGACCCTTCCTACTTCTCGACACAATGTCCACACCAAACCCACACGACACCGGCGATCGCCTTAGTATGTTTTCCCCACCCCGACCGCGACTTCTTGGAGGAGAAGCCGGCAAGTAACCGCGACGGCGGCGGCGGCGGCGGCGGCGGCGGCGGCGGCGACAGAAAAAGCACGTGTGCTGACGATTCACACTCGCCACGTCACCGCGCCACCATTGGGCTTTGCGGCTTTTTATTATAAGGCGGTCTGCGTACCAAACCTCGGGCACATTATGCGCCATCGCTAATCCGCGACTGCCTATTTGTATAATCTTCACGAAGGACCATCTGTGGACGCGTAGGACAATTAGTAGCTAGGTAAACAAAGAGTGCCGTCTTCGGAATTTCCCAAGGAGAAGAACTATGCCTTAGTCAGTCTACCGTGCAAACCAGACTATCGCCTACGCATTAGGTTTGGCCATTGTCCTACGAGCGGCGTAAGCAGATTTAGCCACAATACATATCGTACTCGTTGCAATAGCAAGGCGTGAATGTCAGAGGCCACGTAGGGTGGGTAACTTCAGTGCCTAATATGCCTTATTCCTATACCACCATCGCATCCGATATCCGGCCGTTTACTGACTGGATGCGACGTGGGATGCCGTGGGCAGCTCAGGTTAACTGTGGTCAACTTCGCATTAAATAAACATCATAACACGCGGTGAAATTAATTTTGCAATCCATCCAGTCTCACCGAAGTCCGCTTACTAGTTCGGAAGCAATGGGACCGCGTTTCCAATTTTGAACTCGGGCGGGCAAAGGGCGAGAGGGACAGTCCGCATTGAGTGAAGACGCATAATCAGACGACAGCTAATGCTGACAGGCTTATGTAGCCAATGAGGACTGGCGGCCCCCAGTACTTATCAGTTAGCAAATATGCGCAGTGCACAGTAGTGGCCTCGTAGACCGCCTGCCAAATCCCATCACCAGGTAGTTGGCAGACCCGGACAGTCAAATGGTTCATGCAAAAGGGAAGAGATCGAATGAGGTCAACACTGGGGAATCCATCCGCATGCGCTACTCACTATAATAAACCTGACGCAACTGGATCTATCACGGCGAGCTGATAGTCCTGGCTTGGAAGGTGGCCGACTGACCCGGTGGGTCAGTCTTCCCAGAACCACCGCAGAGGCTCCTTCTTGCTGTGCCCTCTATGACACTCTCGCTTAAGTGGGACCCGTGTCGCCCATTTCCCCGTGGAAACCTGTTGCCTCTTGCGGGGACAGGATCGCGCGTAGCAAGCGTAGACAGGCTATCGCCAAATGCCCCGCAGGCTTCTTCTATTGGATGTTGAATACATAGACCTTCGCCTCACCACTTTGGCCTTATTCAACCATACTTATTCGATCGTCATGAAGGCATCTTAGTCAGCTCTTCTTTCTTTAATTGTAGATAAGTATTGGGGTTTTGATTCGTGCTTCCCAGGGCGTCACTCTAGGCCCCCTTCTTTTCGTTTCGTGCATGGCCGACACATCATCAGTAGGAAGACACGCTCAATTTTATGTCTGTGCTGACCACTTTAAGCGCGTATTTCCTCCCTCTGTTTACAAAAATGCAGCTCATCGACACGCCGATCCGATCAAAGCTGACTTTAATACTTGTTTCCCAAAGTAGAATTCTACCGCACAAATGACATATACTCCCTGTAAGCGTCGTTTTATGTTCGAATGTTTCTTCCCACTGAGTATCATGGCTCAGTTTATGCGAACCGACTGGATTTCTTTGCTCATACCAATCAGATTACGGCTTGCATTTGATTTTGCAAACCGATTCTCCATGAAATTAAATCAAGGTCGTCTTCCGTCTATGCTTCTCCCTCCCCCCCTCCCCCCATTTCCTTCATCATAAAGACGCATATGAGTCTACAGTGTGACCGCGGAGGCGGGTGTATGTCGGTGCTTCTGTCACTGGTTTGTAAGTGACCGACTAGACCGATGCGCGAAGGAGAAGAAGAAGAAGAAGAAGAAGAAGAAGGCCCATTGACTCCGGAGGGGACCCCTTGCCACATTATGCCAGCCACAAGAAAAACACTGACTAACCGAGAGTCAAATCACAAGGTTTAGTAACCCCCAGATACTCTTTCTTGATGTGGCCTCTACGGCACTCCCACCTAGGTCGGATCGAGTCGCCTTTCCCTATGCGAAATCCTGGCAGACGTGTGCGATAGCCGGGTCGTGCCTGGCACGCGTAGATGGGTAGTCTAGCTGTGTCTGCCACTGTGCCCCACCCATAGAGTCTCTTTAGCCCCGTCAGGCAGTGCGCCTAAGCCCGCCTTCGGTCGTGCCGACTCTGTCTTACCACGGGGACAAGACGTTTCGGGGAGGGGGGGAGCGCGACAGCCGCTGCGCAAGTGTGTCATCAATACACCGTGATTCACGCGTACGTCGCCATCCGTCACCCATAATATAGTAGGTCGCACAGACGACATCGTCGCCAGCGGCGTTCGAACTGTCATTCATGATGCCTGCGTGCAGTCTTGCATTCTTACCCTCAACGGTGCTGAGGCTGTTGAGTACACTCTCCCCGTTCATACCTCATTAATGCTATTACTATTGACCGACCAACGTATTGCTGGTAGTAGGGAGTTTTTCACATTTGTGTTATAAAGACCACTGGAACGTTTTTTGGTCCAGAACACTTACTTAATTAGGCTCCGCAACCAGTTACATTAGTTCAACACAACTATTAGCTGTATTTGTGCGCCCTGTATGGTTAGTATATTAAAACGGTGTAATGAAAGAATGTTTAGTATTAACTGCTCCATGGTAGCCAGGTCGGCGATGTGAGTCTTTTATCATGTCAAGAGAGCTTTCTCTATCTTCGATGAGGACTGTTTCGTTAAAGCCTTCTGACATTTCTACGGCCACAGCTAGAAGTGGCCATTCAGGCGTGGTAACCCTGGACCTCTAAGGACCTCAGCATTCTTGAGCATGTTCAAAGGCGGGCAACGAAACTCGTTAGTGGGCAGGGTTCATTATCCTACTAAACACGGCTATCCAATCTCGGCCTTTTCCCACTGAGTTACAGACGGCTATGAGGCGACCTTGTACAAACATCGTATAATGCGCGGCCAGGACTGCTGTCTCTTACCTGCTGATTTCTTTGAGTTAGCAACCACAACGAACCTCCGAGGTCATCCACTTAAACTACGTGTGACTGGCGCCAGGCTGGACATTCGGAAGTTCTTCTTTTCAAGCAGAGTGATCGAGGCTTAGAATGCTCTGCCTGCAGATGTCGTCATGTCCACCTCCGTCGAGGCTTTTAAGCGCAATTTGGACCAGTATACCATTAAACGTCAAAATGTCACCTGACCGATATCGTCTTAGCATTCCGTTCGAACAGTTAATTAATGTTATTATATTACTGCCTGCATGTCAGTAACGTTTGTTTTTAATGTTGTCTCAAGTTTTTGTATGTGAGTGTTGGCATTCAATTCGTCTCCCTCAGAAACTGAGATCGCACCAATTATCCCTAGACAGACTACTGTACAGCAAATTTAGTAATATTAATGTTTTAACACTTGGAACAATTCGTTTATCTGTCTGGTTTCGAAAAGTTTGCCAAGCTGAAAAAAACGTCTGTAGCTGCTTGACGTTTCTATTTTCAAATTTTTGATATAATTCGCTTCCTTGTAACAAATAGAGAGTTCAAAGGTTCAACACCTATGTTTCCCTCAACTAAACTGAAACCGAAATTTTCTTGCTATAGGACCAAGTCACTGGGGTTGTGTTCACTCTGTCAGGTATGCGGTGGGCGTCGCCCTTCCTGATCGACAAAAGGATTATAATTTAGACTCAGTAAGTCCTTATAGCGGGAACAACATTTACCCATCGTGGACACCAGAGGTGCTGGCGACTGTCGCTGGTCACGAGGGCCTTACGGAACTCGCCGTGCAAGACCTACTGGGCGGGCGTGTGCATATCAATCAGGCAACTCTGCATTGATGAATTACGCACAAACTGCCAATGGCATAAATTGTGAGGAGACCGACTGTGTCATGGTGCTGACTTTGTCTACGCTTAGCGTTCACCCGGGAGGAAAAACGCTAGATGGGCCAACACCAGTCCTTCTCGGACAAGTTCCATTTCGCCCACCCTGTAAGTTTTCGCATGACGACACTGGATTGTGGACTTCGGCCAACGGCATCCACTCGTTAATCCTAAATTGTGGCTGCGATGTATAGACGAAACATTTGTTGTCGTTAGGAGGATCAACTAGAAACCCTCCACAAGATCATTAATTCTACTATTCCGGAAATTAAGTTCACTTGGGAAAAGGAAGTCGACAGTAAACTCCCGTTTTGGATGTTCTCGTGCAGCGAAATACGGATGGAACATTACACAGGTCTATTTAGCGCAAAGAAACGTATGCGAAAGTCGTTCTACACCATATGGGCAACAACCCAATCTGTCACAAACAGAGCACTGTCAACAGCTTGCTCTACCGAGCGAAAACCCACTGCTCCGACGAACAAAGTCACATAATAGAATTGAATTATCTGTTTGAATTATTTTTCCGAAATGGTTGCCCTAGAAATTTTCTTTGTGGATGCATAAGAAGACAGGAGTCAAAAGAGAAGGACCTAGGTAGTTCCAAGCAGGCGTCCAAAGCAAATGCTTAGCGAACTCTCCCTCACATTAAAAATGTGTCTGAACTCGTTGAAAGACACCTGAGGAAACAACAGATACAAATGACTCACAGACCGGCAACAACGTTACGCAGTCAGCCTGTACACCCTAAGGATAGGTTTTGTTATCTGCAGAAGAAGGAAGTCGTCCGCAAGATCCAATGTAAAGTGTGCGATGTCACATATTGTGGCCAAACTGGAAAGTCCGACTCCGCACGCATCCACGAACATCAGTTAAGAGGCGAGACCACCTATCTCAAATGGCCATCCACACATTGGATGGGACAAGACTCGCCTCGTCGGCGTCTGCCCTAACAAAAGATACCGAGAATCTCTTGAGGCCATGCACTCAGACGAGTCATGCGTTAATCGGCATATTGAATTAGACGCAGCGTACAAAATCTCAAGGAAAGATAAAAGAGATGGGAACCAATCGATACACAATGGTGTATGCAACTGACGCTTACCAGCAGGAATACCGGAGTAATGTTTATTTTTGAGCAAGGTTGAAATGTCGACTGTACATTTACTCAAGTCTGATGACGACCGGGGGAACCGACGTCGAAAATTTATTA